TAGTCCGGACTTCGGTCCGATGCAGGGGACAAGGTCCCAGTCAGTTTCCGGACTTCGGTCCGATGCAGGGGACAAGGTCCCAGTCAGTTTCCGGACTTCAGTCCGATGCAGGGGGCAAGGCCCCAGTTAGTCCGGACTTCGGTCCGATGCAGGGGACAAGGTCCCAGTCAGTTCCGGACTTTGGTCCGATGCAGGGGGCAAGGCCCCAGTTAATCCGCACCTCGGTCCGATGCAGTGGGCAAGGCCCAATATGTGCTTTATATACTTGTATGGTATGTGGTAGTTTGGGAGAGCTCACTAAGCTTTGTGCTTACGATTTCAGTTTTTGGTTTCAGGTACTCAGTTTTCAAAGGAGGAGCTCGGAGAGGTTGCAGTGCACACACCATAGTCAGTTAGCCTGGGATGTTTTACTCTGATAATAAGTTTATGATTTGAATTAATACTATGAGATTATGTTACGACTTATGAAACGGTTTTTATAAATATGGTTTTAGTAATGTTTTTAAAACGAAATTTTCAGACTGTATTTTTGGGATGTTTCAACATGTTTTTTAGTTTGTGGGATTGGGTTGAGGCAGGTCCTGCTTTGTGATGTAGCCCAAGATACCCAGGACGGACCGGATAGACTGCAGACTCGAGAGGGCATATAGTCAGGCCGAAGGCCAGGCGAGCGGTCCGGATAGGCTGAAGGCCCTGAGAGGCGGTCCAGACATGCCGATGGCTCGGAGAACAGTCTAGATAAAATGATGGCATGTGAGGCAATCCAGTCAGACTGATGGCTCATTATGCATGATGTGTTTGTTTATATGTTATGATTATGATCGTATGGCGTTGGTATTTTGGGGGTAACTCACTAAACCTTCGAGCTTACATTTATCGATTATTGTTTCAGGTACTTCTGATGATCGCGGGAAGGAGAAGGCGTGATCATGCACCTTCTTATGTTTTATGATTTGATTATGGGAAACTCTGACATTGAACTATTTGAAAACAAGTTTTGTAATAATCATTGGTTTTGAAATGTTTTAAAAAGTTTAAATTTGACATGATTTTTATGGATGTTACAAGTTAGTATCAGAGCCTTGGTTTGAGTGAATTGGAGGAAACACTCGCGTGTCTCCAGTCTCAAACCGAATTTATTGGTGCGGTACGGTTTTTATCTAGAAACCGGACCACCAAAACCGAACCACACCTCAAGCTTATTAACAATAAAATAAATCACTAAGTTATATTATACAATTATACATATTATTTAAAAAACTAATAAATTCTAATTTATACATATATTATATATT